AACGTCCCGTCAACACGGCACCCAGACCCCACGCAGCATTATCATCTGTTTGTCATTACTGGTGTCATTTTCTGGTTGCTAACAAACGCCATTGTAACACATAAACACACATCAGAGCACAGTGGGCTCATAGGGAAGCTCCAACAAGGCGTTTAGGACACAGAGTGAATACACATACTATACAGAGATGCTGTATGAGAAACCAATGTGAGTTTGGAACATTGAACAATGTAAATCTATTCTAGTAGACCTCAACAATGGAATTATGATCAGTAGAAATGGCCATGACATGGGACCTTTTAATGTTTTATTTCTTATTTTGCTTATTTTATTGTAACCACTTCTATTGTCTCTCCGTGTGTTTCCAGGAAGGCGAACATGGTGGTGTCGGTGCTGCTGGACGTGGCTCTCGGCATGCTGCTGATGTGGTGGCTGTACAAAGACAACCACATCAGCATGTTAGCCAACACACTGGTGCCTGCAGCCGACGTGAGTGTGTGATAGATCAGATCAGATGTTTGAGTCTAAGTTGCTGAATTACATAAACAAGGCTTCTTAAGTTAAAGCAAGAAGGTTTGGGTAAAGTAAATTACCTAATAAACCTTGACATTTTAATGTAAGTCTTTTAAAATACAACTGTGCTTACAAAATTACATTAAAAAGATGATATTGTGTAACACAAGAAAGAGAAACACATCATGAAAGGACATTAAAATACAATTCAAACAGTCATTAATAGGCAGAGAGAATATAAGCTTGAATACAATACGACAGGTCAAATAAACAATAATAAAATGTACAGTTTTCTCTAAGCGTCAATAGTTCTTTGATTTAATGAAAGGAGGGAAACAGAAATGTCGAGACAGTTGCAGTTTTCTACAGTTCAGTTTTTTGTTCCAGATATTTGGAGAATAAAAACTGAAAAGAACGAGCTGGTGTTTTTGGATTTCCTCATCCCACCTAACTGTTCCCTCTGGTTCCTCCTCAGCACGTGGCCAAAGAGCTGGAGGAGCTGCTGCAGTGGCTGATGGGAGCTCCTGCCGGGCTGAAGATGAACCGGGCCCTGGACCAGGTGCTAGGCCGCTTCTTCCTCTACCACATCCACCTCTGGATCAGTGAGTCTCAACNGGTGGACTGGCCATCGGGACGTTCGGCACGAATCCCGATGGGCCAGTACTTCCGGGCCCATTTATAATGTCCGGCCCACATCGTCCGACCAGCCTACTTCAGTACTGGCCCATCGGGATTCGTGCCGAACGTCCCGATGGCCAGTCCACCCCTGCCCACTGCTGTGACCCATGGCCAAAGCATATCTCTCCCCCACTGAGGTGGCGTTAGACTTTTTCGCTGTCCGTCATTTTGACAGACAGGATCGTAAAATATCCGTCATAATCCCTTATTACTCGTCAGGTCTGAACAGTTCACGAGAGAGCACGCTCGTGAACTGTCAACGGGGGGGGAGGGGGTGTTATGCCGTGTGTGCATGCACCTCACGGGAGCGCGCACAGCGTAAAGCAAAACCTCCCAGACATGTATTGATCTGTACGGCAAAGTACGGTTTGGAAACTATATCATTTTCTTTTGGAGGGCATGCATAACACGGCATAACACCAGAGCCTCGCTGCGGGGAAACGTTGGCGCTTTTCCGAGTTTATTCTAATCTGTCAAAATGACAGACTGCTTTCAGATTTTTCCGTCAAAGTTAAATAAAATATTCGGTTAACGCGACCACTGCTGTCCCAGCAACATTAGTACCAAGCGAGAGAGTTTTTTCCAGAGCAGGGGATATTGTAAATGCCCAAACATCCCGGCTTATAAATACCTGGAAATGTGGACATTCTCATATTCCTAAAAACCTGTCTGATGATGCTGAGTGAGTGACTAGTGANGTGTGCCTTGGCAGTCTCAGGTAAATGCCCAAACATCCCGGCTTATAAATACCTGGAAATGTGGACATTCTCATATTCCTAAAAACCTGTCTGATGATGCTGAGTGAGTGACTAGTGAATTTGAGTTGAGTGAGTGACTAGTGAGTTAGAGTTGAGTTACTTGAAAAACTAAAGTGAAACTTGATTTATTTTATTGCAGGGTCTGATTATTAAATGTCCTTGTTTATTTGTGAGATGCAGTGGCACAAAGAAAATGCCTACTTTGTTTTGGTAGTACTAGTCACTTTGTTTTTGACACTTTAAAATACTGCTATCCTACAAAAATGCTGTACAAATCAGATTTATTATGTAATAAAAAAACCTTTTCAGAGTAAAAAAAATGTAAATTTTTTTTTTCCTTTATTATTCAATATCGCGAATTATACCGTACCGTGGACTTGTTATCACGATTTTATCGTAGCGTGAGTTTTTGGTATCGTTACATCCCTAATTCTTACTGTAGCTTCTGCTGTTTACACTGCTGACAGGCGGACCGCTGTGTCCGTGCGGTGCGGTGTGACTCAGGATCTTTCTCTGTGTAACATTTAATTTATGTTTCAAATGTTCATTATTACAGTTTTATTTTATATGTTACGTAAAGCACAACGTACCATGCTGTTATAATAACGTTCTTTATCAGCCTTTGAAACTAAAAACATTTTGGGAGAAAAAAAATATATAAATAAAAAAAAGGTTTTCTTCAATTCAGGCAATTAGTCGACTACCGTATTTTCCGGACTATAAGTCGCTCTTATCAAAAAATGTGTCGTTAAGTGAAAAAATACATATATAAGTCGCTTCGGTGTATAAGTCGCATTTATCCAATGAAGTCTTCATCCTCTGTGTCGCTGTTAAAGGTCCCATGTCATGGCCATTTCTACTGATCATAATTCCCCCCCCAGCTCGCCCACTCTGTTCTGGTGAGTCTACCACTATGGTCTACCACCGTTACAGCGGAACATCAGTGATTATGTGTTACAATGGCGTTAGCAACCAGAAAATGACACCAGTAAGGACAAACAGATGATAATGCTGCGTGGGGTCTGGGTGCCGTGTTGGCGGGACGTTGCGCGGCTCGCTGCTGCGAGGAGCGGACGGTGTGAGTTGGGTTAATTTCCTGCTTGCTGCGTGGGGTCTGCGAAACAGCGAGACATCGAGAATGGACGTGGGAAGGGGGGGATGCTGAGGGGGCTGCAGCACCCCCATTTGCAAGGCTCCACTAGCACCCGCACCAGGGGCAGCATAGACAGGTATTTTCTGTGTTAGAGTTTTACTCGCTACAGGGTGTACTTTGAGGGTTTGTGACTGCAGACCGTTTACATGCAGAAAAAGCTACATAACACACAAGGGGATGGGTAATAACCAGAAAAGCATGTCATGGTGACCTTGAATATATAACTACAACCAAGTATATAAAATGGCTCTTCATGACGAACTAACTAAACTATACCGTAATTTCGACTATAAGGCGCACCTGAATATACGCCGCAGCAGCGGCATCCACTGTCGGTTCCATTTACTTTTCCCGCTCTACCTGTTCACTCTTTTCGCCCCAGCTTTTCCATGTCGGACCCCCGCTTAAAGGTGGGGTCTGCTGACCGGGCCAGTATTAGCCCATAGCAGTAACAGTGTGTTGGCCGTAGCTGTAAAAATCCTAGATTACGCCGCACCGTTATATAAGCCGCAGCGTCGCAAAAATAGGGAAAAAGCGCGCCGTTTCTATAGCCGAAATTACGGTAGTGTTAGTGATGAATTACATATATATTCATGATTATTTAATATCTGTACTTTCCACGTACGATTTCTGTACTGAGGTTTTTTTAAGACCATAAATTCTTATTTTACAAGTTAAGGATCTGACTAATTCTTGCACTTCTTCTGCTGTCTAGTTGCTGAATAAATGCGCCGGTGGTTAAGAACTATGTGAACGAGAGCCCAGGGACACCTGACTGTCTGTCTGCTTTCGAGGAGCACTTCCTGAGCAGGAGAGTCACTGGGCTGCGATGTTCAAGGTCGAGTCAGTCATCACTTTCCCATAACCACTGATAATCTTCGCTGGCCGCGGGCTCAGGAGCAGTTTTCATCCTTTAATGGCAAAGGTTGGTTGAATCATGCCGCTTGCTATTCAGGACATGTCGTGTGTCCTTGGCAAGATACTTAACGCGCAAACTAGCCCAGAGTGCTTGTGTGGGGCTAGTTTCCCTGAGCATAGTGGACTAGTTACAAGCCTCTGCCTCGTAGCAGTGTGTGTGACTGGTGGAGAAGCTGAGCTTGTGTATGCAAAATGCCTCCCCCAGGTCCTGATGAACATGTACCAGCTGGAGATTCCTGGAGTAGACATGGATAAGCCGCTTGTCTCCCAGGGGACATCATCCCGACCAGGCAAGCAGCTGCGCAAGAACCAGGGGTAGGAAGTCACTAATAGTCCGCAAATCATCCAGCCACAAGATACCATTTACAGGTGTAGTACGGTTTTAAGGGTGGGGGATATTTTTATACGGAGATACATCACAGACGATCTACATGCCCTCTGTATTTCCTTTCTCTTCCTTTTTATACTTGTGACTATAGCAATGCCTCTTCGTACATTTTATGGATGCAACTTTTTCAGGTTTTTTGCAAATTATTTACAAGAGGGAATAAATGCATTTCAAATAAGTACTGGCAATTGTAGAGGAAACACAATCTGATTTTTGCTTTTTAACCACATTGATTGTACCAAACTATCCTCTAAAAACTCATTTATGGCAAGACCAACCATTTATGCAAAATATCTAATACAAGGGGATAATTGTGTTAAACTGAATTTGGTTTTACAAAGTCGAGTTTTGTTCACTCTTAAGCATGTTCAGTGTGTAGTACTTTCTGGTCTACAATCTTCCCCCTAATTTAAAATGTTCTTTTTTGTAAGAAATTACTTGTCAATGATGTCAAATAAAATAAATAAATTACTTAAAATATAATTCAATAATGAAACCCATCATTATCTACGAGTAAATACAATTTGGCTAATGTATACGTTACCAAATTACTTAGTCTTTTCCTTGTGTGTATTTGGTTTTCCATACCTATCATTTTTGGACTTTTTTCTGAAATTCATTATTGTTCAACTTGCCTTAAGGCCTGATGATGTCACTTATTCTGGAATGTATTTTCCCCACTAACAAGCGTTTTCAGAGTTCATCGAGTGTTTGAAGGAGGCCAGAGGAGTCTCAGGAGGAGGAAGGGAATAAGACGAGCAAAAGATGACGTAAACTTGAAAAAGAGGATTCAGGCAGCTTGGTGTTCCCCAACAGCACTTTCTGTCACTAACATCCAGCAGTCTTTCTTGTACGAGTTTAGACGACACATTTGATCATAGTAGGCCACCGCCAGTAAGCGGTGTGCTGTGAACGTCAAATCCAATTAAGAGAGAGATACCCGCGACTGCTTTGAAAAGGAACACAAAAGGTCGTCATCAATATAAAGGTTTATTACAAGAGTATCACCACATCCCTTTATCATTTGTTATCTTTGTTTCCAAAATAGACGGCAGTCTATCTAAGTACGGGTAGTACATTATATCGCAAATAGATTCAGTCCATAACAGCATTGTTACATTCAATTTTAATTTCAGGCTCGTTGACTCTTGCAATCAAAGTGAAAGTAAAAGATTGATTACGCCGAACAATCCCACAAAAAAAGAGTTTATCTACATTGTAAGGGAATACAAGGTTGAGATTAGTCACAAAGTTTTTCCCTTTATCATAGTTTAACAATACTCAAATATGCCACAGTTTATCATTTCAAGTGTTCCTCCTCTTGAGTGTCATTAGTTTAGCTATTCAATGTCCCAGGACTGCAGCGAAAATCAAAAATATTTTCATGGTTGTTCAAGAAAATAAGTGCCCGTCACAGCGAACAACATGGATAAAACATTTTTTAACAATACATTGAGCACATGTTGTAATCATCAATGTGAAATTCTCAAATTCTAAGGATCTGTTCACCTTTATTTTGAGTGTTTTTTCCAAATTTGTAAATGCTTTATAAATCCTATCTTTCTCTGTGTTTGCTTCAAGTTTTATTGACCCTCACAGGCCCCTGTAGCTGCTACTTAATGGAAAACAAAACGTCTTACAAGATGACATGACAAAAATTGAAGGTTATCTTCTGTGTTTGGTTAAGACTATTTAGAAGGAAAAACTCACATATTTATTGGACAAACAAATAGCCGAGCAGGATTTCAACATTTTTAGAGAAGGGGTTTTGGTGGTGCAGTAAACTTGTGTAGCCAAGCAGAATAAGAGCTAATTTGTGTCCATCTACATGTTAGCCAAACGCGCATCTCGGATGCCCGATTAGAATTTTTAAGCCGTCGTCCAAATGCCTCATTTGCCGTTAATAAGTCTTAGTTTGCTGATTTCAACATTGGATTTGAACGATATCAAAAATATTTTTATAAGTTTTACGCGTATATATAGGACATTTTATGTATGCGTAAAAACTTTTATAAAAAATATTTTTATAAAG